TTTTTCTATAGACCTGACTTCCCATCTACTCCTTACTTCAATTTCTCAACATTTGTTCACTGCCATAACGTTTTAAAGCAAGATTCTTGGTCCATAGGTAATGCTGAGTCGAAATTTGGGGAAGCTGGAAGTAATCTAGGAGTATGCAAACCTAACACTTTGCTCAGGCTTGCTAAGTTTCATCCACGTAATGCTAAACCATGTAGTTTCCTGTGCAAACACAACCACAACGTGCATAACAAATGTAATACCCAGCTATGATATAGTCTGGGCTAGTCTACCCATTACATCAGCAGCACTGGGCAATGGTTTCCCCTATGATATTTCTTCATTTGAAATTGCCCCTCCCTAAAGCTGCTATTGGCCATTGGTTGGCAGGGGGTAGGGGAAGACAGATACATGGCCCTTCTTTACCATGTCTTGGAGGATCTGTAATGGGAAAATAGAATAGGGCAGGGGCTCCCCAAGCTGTCATCTGTGAACTTCATCCAGATGGTCTGTGACATGTTTGTAAAAATGCAGTTAAAAATAATACAGCATATAGCACGTTAAGTGTTCTATGGAGGGCGGAGTTTAGGAACCACTGGTATAGAGGGGAATCTCCACCAGCAACACATGCCCAGGTCATTCCTACATTATCTGTAAGTGTTTCTAAGGCTGGAATTCTATACACATCTACTCAGGAATCAGGGCCCCATTTAATTTCCTAGGGCAGATTTCTGAGGAAATAGGTAGGGAACTGCAGGAAGAAAATGCTGGAAGGCCCAATCGCAGATATCCCAGGTAACATGTAATCCGATACATCATTCAGTGTCCCCCACAACTATGGGTTAAAGCCTCTAGATCAAACAGTCAGAGAGTCTGGAGAAGTAGTTCTGTAACAAAGAAACACACACATTTACAGATCAGTATGCTTTATATGGCATAAAAGTTTTGATGGCATAGAGTTCACTTCATCAGATGCACAAAGTGTTGTCCATTAATGGCAATTGAATGTGGGGGAACTGTAAAAGGTGGAGTTAGGTAAAGGTAAAGGGACCTCTGACCATTAGGTCCAGTCGTGGCCGACTCTGGGGTTGCGGCGCTCATCTCGCTTTATTGGCCAAGGGAGCCAGCATGACTAAGCCGCTTCTGGCGAAACCAGAGCAGCACACGGAAACGCCGCTTACCTTCCCACTGGAGTGGTACCTATTTATCTACTTGCACTTTGACGTGCTTTTGAACTGCTAGGTTGGCAGGAGCAGGGACCGAGCAACGGGAGCTCACCCCATCGCGGGGATTCGAACCGCCGACCTTTTTATCGGCAAGTCCTTGGCTCTGTGGTTTAACCCACGTAAAAGGTGGAGTTAGATGGCAGTAAAATGCAAAAAAGTATTATCTGTGACAGTTCCACATGTCAGCACATGTAACTGCCTGCTCCTGCCCCTTTAGAACATTCTTCCCCAACCTTGTTTCTTCCCAACGTTTTGGACTACGAGTTCCCTCAGACCATGCTGGCTGATGCCAATGTGTGTTGGAATAAATGTGTGTTATTTTTACTTGGTGTCTGTAGAGACGGGAATTCATTCCATTAAAAACAAAGGGGGAGGGATAATCATACTGTTCCCATCTCCACATCTCTTGGCATTTCATACAGAAGACCAAATAAAGCAGTTCCATTGTCTTATAAAGTTTTGCACGCCATTGGGTGGGTGGGTGAGAGACAGCGAGAGACAGACACATTGCCGATACTGTTGGGTTGTGATGTGAAGGTAATGCTCATCAACAGAATGAATGAAAGTAGGAGTCACACTTGGTGCATTCGGATTGATTAAAGAAAGAAGCCAACTACCTTGCATGAAGTGCTGCCACAGTTTATTACTCCTCCTTTCTTTGTGGGAGTCCAAGGATGCTTGGTATGTATGAGGGAATGCTTAAAAACACAGAGACAACAGTCAGAGGCAGTAATGCTTCTGAATACCACTTGCTGGAAGCTGCAGGGGGGGGCGGGGAGGGCTTTAGTGCTTGAATCCTGTGTGTGTTTTTTCCACAGGCATCTGGTTGGGCACTGAGAACAGGATGTTGGACTAGATGGGCCACTGGCCTGAGACAGCTGGCTCATCTTATATTCTCTTTACATTCTTAAGCACCAGGAAAGGAAGGCCTCTGTGGGCACATGTGTGCCCATGGGAGCAACACTGGCAACCCTACCTGTCATATAGGGAAAGGAAGTGCATTATATTTTTGCTTGCCTTGAGGCTTTGCTTGGAGTTAGAACATTCAGGGTCGTATCTTTATCCGTGGGTTGGCAACCATGTCAGTAGTGAGTAGAATGCCAAGTTTGCAAAAAGGCAAGCTATAACTTGCTTTGCCTCTTTTTATAAAAATGCAATCACACAAAGTTGAGTTGCTTTAAAAGTCACAAACAATTGAGGAAGCTCTGACTTGAGTTCATCAGAACTCTCAATCTGGTTGAGTGTTAAACAAACAAACAGGCAATAAAATTGGAGAATGTGAATAAAGGACATTTAAGACAACAGAGGGCAACATATAGCCCTAAATGACATGTGGCCCTCAAACTAACTTATGTAACTGTCAGCCTAATTTCAAAAGCATTCTGCAAGTGATATGTTCAGAACTCTGACAGAACAATATATCCTTCCACCAAGGGTTTGGTGGGTGGGAAGGAAGAGAGAGAAAGACAAAAGTAGAGAGAGAAAGGAGTGTCAAAATGAGAGGGGCAGATGACAGAGAAAGGAGTGGCAGAAAGGGATGGTCCCATCCACTTTGGGATCCGACCTCTGCTCACTTCTTCATTATCATACAGTTCTATAATACTGTGATTTTAAAAAATAAAATACTGAACCAGTAGAACTAGCTGTATTTTCTTTTATTTCACTCAGGCACACACTTTGCATCCTTAATTAAAATCAGTCAATCAGTCGATCCCAATGTGTTCGTTATCCTCCATTATGATGCTCTATTTTCCTTAAGCCATGAAACACAAAGTATCCGTCCTTCTCAAATGGAACAATTAATCTGCCAAGTCAAATAATAGTGAACACGTCAATATCATTTTGTTGATCTACCTCGGTGGAGAATATAAAGAGAATACCGCAGAATTTAGGGTTTGGGTACTGAAACTTTTGTGAGTCATCAGATCTGTACTTTCTGTCTGTACTTTCCAGTTCAGTGTGACTGGCTCGTTCTGCTTCCTGTGGGTTCCTTTGTTCTTTCCATTTCTTACTTGGTTCTTATTCAACACACACACAAACCTGGGATTGGATTAGAAAGGTGTTTTAGTTAAAAAGTTCAATGGCCTGAAAAGGCTTTGGGGACCTAGCCCTAGCTAGGATTTTTGAAAAGGATGTTGTGAGTTCAGCAGTAAACAAAGCTTTTCAAAGATAACACTTTCAAGTAAGAAGCACAGCCTTTATGCTAATATTTCGTCTATTAACCAGCAAACGGCCATGCCATATGGAGTGAAGCAGTGGAGGCAGGTTCACTAGGGCAAGTAGGGCACTGCCCCACCAAGTTGCTCTCAGCCAATCCCCACCTGCCAGTCTCCTTCCTTATAAATCATCTAGGGGTTGGGACTGGCTGCTAGCTTCCTTCTTAGTTTCAGTGTTGTCCCTTGTAGAACTGAGCCAGCAGGTGGTATAGAGAGTGAGGCTATACTAGAACTTTGGACTTAATATGTGGTACAGTTGCTAGAAAGGGTGGTCACTACTGAGGGTGCATGCAGACATACTTGCCTAGAGGAGCTGATAGGGTAACTTTTATGGAAACACGGACTCCAAATTCAGCACTAATATTTCAGACCACGTTGGAGGAATGTGTTTTGCGATTTTCAAAAATCCCAGCCAATCTGCTGCAGAGCATAGAAGGAAGTTTTTTATTTTACGATTGTCACAAAGGCCAGGCAATCAGCATTTTGTACAAACAACCTTTGCTTGAGACAAGAGGTAGTTCCCAGGTTCAATTCTCTAAGGTTGTACACCGGGCCAAAATGAGGTCAATGTACATCCACAGGGGGGCCAGCACTCGAGCTATGTATGTGTGTACATACCCTGAGGGGAAACCTGTATCTTTTTCAGTCCCTATCATCTCCAGGTGGAGCTGAGCAAAGACTTATTGCCTGAAACCTTGGAGAGCCTCTGCTAGTGTAGACAATACTGAGCTACATAGATCAGCAGTCTAAGGCAGATTCCTATGTTCAGTAAAAGGTTTCTCATATCTAACAGGACAATTCTGAATGCGATGATAATTTCAAGTTGTCACTTATTTACCAAAACACACACCATCAGCTTCTGTGTTTCTCAGTTACACACTTCAGTGAAGCTATTGGAGTTTTGCTACCATAACTAACAGGAGAAGTTGGCTCATGTCCTTCAGTGTGTGAAAAGAACTCTTTAAATCAATTATGGCTGGACAAAATCTATGAAGCAAGAAGCAACTTTAAAAATGGGATATGCGGGAGAATGAAACTTAGCTAATGGAAGTGAACTTTTTTCTCTGGCCTGCTTGTGGGAACATATCAGCGTGCTTGACTTTTATTAATAGGAGATTGGTTATTCAACAGATCATTTATTTTGATGTGATCAGCCCATGGAATTGTGCTCCTGTTGCTTTATCTGTCAGCTATATTTGAAATTATTAAGGCAGTGCTTCATTTAACATTCAGCCTTGTGCGCTTTCAATGTTAGTGCATTGTTTGGCTTAAATATATATATACGTGTGTGTGTGTGTGTGTGTGTGTGTGTGTATGTACAGTCATACCTCAGGTTACAGACGCTTCAGGTTGCATTTTTTTGGGTTACGGACTGCTGAAACCCGGAAGTACCGGAACGGGTTACTTCCGGGTTTTGGCGGCCGCGCATGTGCAGAAGCGCTAAATTGTGCTTTGCACATGCGCAGAAGCGCCAAATCGCAACCTGCGTGTGTGCAGACGTGCCGCTGCGGGTTGCGAACGCTGCAGGTTGCGAATGTGCATCCTGCACAATCACGTTCACAACCCGAGCGTCCACTGTATATGTATATGTATATACATATGTATATGTATATGTATATGTATATGTATATGTATATGTATAGCTCAGTTGGTTGGAGTGTTGCTGATAATGCCAAGGTTGCATGTTCAATCCCCGTATGGGACAGCAGCCTATTCTTGCATTGCAGGGGGTTGGACTATGTGATCCTCATGTTGCCTTCCAACCCCAGGATTCTATGATTCTATGATCAGAGTGCTGCTTTATAAAACATGGTGCAAAGCATGACCCCTGTGTCCAAAATATTTGCAAATAAGCTCCTTTCAGGTTTTATATATACAATGCGCTGAAATGGCTTTTCCATGTTGCCAACAATGCATGAGTCACAAATATTCCCATCATTGGTATGTGTGTGTGGTGTGTATTTTGTTTGTGCTAAGTAGGATGTAAAATGTGGTGGCCTGCCAGATGGTGTCAGACTACCTTTGGCCCTGGTGGCTGGGGCTGATGGGAGCTGGGAGTCTTAGTAACATTTATAGGGTCACAACTTGGGATGAGGATAACTCACCTGCAGAGTGCAGTTATCAATTGGATATATAAGGGGTAAGATTATCTTTTGGGTACAAAAGGACCTCCTGCAGATACCATATCTATCAAGACGTCCATTTTGCACAATGTAGGAAATGGGTACCTAACCTCTGGAATGTCCTCCCATTGAATATTAGATGGGCACTTTCTCAGTTGTCTTTTTGGAGACTACTGAAGACTTTCCTTTTCCAACAAGCCTTTTAAATAGAGATTTTGTACCCATTATTTGGTTGGAGAACTGAACCACAGATTTAATGATGTGTGACTTACAAGGACAGCTGTATTTCAGTTTGTGTATTGTTTTGGGAAGTGTGAATTAGGTAGGTTTGCATTCAGTTATCAACCAAATTCCTCCTGCATCTGTATACATACATGTATTTTGTAAGTTTATTCATCTCTGAAGTTGCTTTGGAGTCTTTTTTAGTGGAAAGGCAAAGGTTTTTTGTTTTTAAATCACACTTAAAAAAACTACTACACTTCCTTCAGTTTAAAAACTTGTTTTGATGAGAACATTCAGATGAAGTGTTATTGTTTGTTTAAAAACTGATCTAACTATTCCCTAGAACAGTGGATCCCTGTATAAAATGGAGCTCAAGAGCATTTAGTTTTCTGTATGCTCCAAAAAAAGTGTGAATAATGAATCTGCTGAAATGAGACTGTGACGACTCCCCTCCCCAGCACCACTAATGCCTCTGCAACCCCGTCCATGCTGGCAGTGGCTTCGCCTGAGCAAATTAGCCCAAAGTGTTGTGCCCTTGACTGGCAAATTCTTTCAAGCCGGTTGAATGGACAAAATGAATACCCAGATTGTTCCTGTGTCTGTTATGTGCTTGTGTTTATCTGGCTTTGCTGTCACTCAAGCCATTATAACTCTGGGCACACTCAAGCGACTTGTCCACTTACAAAAGGCCAAGTCTATTGATGATAAGCTTTAAAACAAAATGGAACAAACAAACAAACAAAATGCAAAACAACACAAAAATCTGGAGAGAGAGAGAGAGAGAGAGAGAGACAGACAGACAGACAGACAGACAGACAGACTAACAACCAAGTCCTCAGATCAGTCAAATTGTTCAGGCTATGTGTAACAAATCAGCTTGTCAATGGTATTTTGTTGTATTTGTTGAATAGATGTAAATTAAATGTGAAAGACATATTACTGTCTTGTGAAAAATAGTAAGCATGTGTTTGAAATATCATTGGATAGTTCAGGGGTTGCATTATACAGTATGAGTTTTCTCCATATGAACACTGCTAATTGGTCTGAAGCATGTTTGTGTGGACAAATGTGTGAGAGAATCATGGATATGGATGGTAGCAAATACAGCAATTACAGCAGAATTTTTTCCAGTACCTCTCTGGGGACATAGCACAGCAATGTACATGCTCTGCATGCATCTAGGTCTCTATTTATATAGGAAGATGCCTTACACTGAGTCAATTTAGCCCAGTATTGTCTGCTCTGACTGGCAGCAGCTCTCCAGAGTCTTTCCTATCCCTTGTTACTTAATACAAAAGTATTGGAGATGCAAAGCATGAGTGCTGCCACTGAACTGTGGCCTCTCCCCAAGACTCTCAAGTAGCAGGGATGGGAAAAACCCTTCTCTAGGCCCTTGGAGAGCTGCTGCCAATCAGAGCCAATCATACTGGGCTAGATGGACCAGTGGGTGGCACTGTGGTCTAAACCACTGAGCCTTGGGTGGTTTGAATCCCCGCGACGGGGTGAGCTCCTGTTGCTCTGTCCCAGCTCCTGCCAACCTAGCAGTTCAAAAGCACGCCAAAAATGCAAGTAGATAAATAGGTACCACTCCGGCGGGAAGGTAAATGGCGTTTCCGTGTGCTGCTCTGGTTTTGCCAGAAGCGGCTTAGTCATGCTGGCCACATGTCCCAGAAAAACTGTCTACATGAGCTCCCTCGGCCAGTAAAGCGAGATGAGCGCTGCAACCCCAGAGTCGTCTGCGACTGGACTTAACTGTCAGGGGTCCTTTACCTTTACCTTTATATTATAATCATGTGGAGATGCCTTCTTCTGAGTCAGGCCATTGGTCCATCCATTATCATAACTATATTGTTGTTATTGATGTCCGGTGTCAGGGTACATGCTCTGAATTCTTCAAATTGACACTGACTCATGGTCATCAATAAAGACAACCTCCAATGAAACAATTCTAACAGGAAGGATTTGGAAAAGATAAAATTGTGTTAAAGACCCCATGGAGGAGTGTAGCTTAATTTGTAGAAAAGGGGGATAATCGAGACAGCAGAGAGACAGCTTGGGAGATAGCTGAACAAGACTTGATATAAACAGTGGGAGGCAGATTTCAACTAGATTTGACACCCAAATTTTATGGAGAATATGGAGGTTCCTGTGCTGGAGAAAAATCTCAGGAATTTTGTAGGATGCAAAAAGTGTTTGGGCAAAACTAGCGAAATGTCACCTATGGAGTGTGGCTCTATACCACCATTGTTTTGACATTTCAAGGAATGCAAGTATTACTTGCATGAGCAGTATTTTTGATGCAGTTTACAGCTTAGCTGTCAAACACAACACTGTAATAAAAATTGCAGATATGGCAGAAGTGGGCAGTGGAAAATTTACATTTTCTTCCCCTTCCTACAGATAGCAGGGTCCTTGAAAATGCCTAGATGTTTATCTGCTTTGAAGTTCTCTAGACTTGTCGTGCTGTCTTTCACTGTATTTCAGCATTCTCGTTGGACTGACTGCGAATGGAATTGGTCCAAACTAGGAGCATTTTCACTGGTTTTTTTGCCTCCACATCCAGAGTTTGTGGTATATGTGCGAGAGCGTGCATGCAAAAAAAAGAGGAATTTTTTATTTTCTTTAGGAGAGTTGGCCTTTTTTAATTTAAAGAAAATGTATAAGTACCCCGAGGAAGGCCTTCTGCCAATTCACTATGTGTTTCCAGGATTGTTAAAAGCATAAAGCAGAGGCACGGCTCGAGCTGTCATCCACCAAGCCCGAGAAACCATGCAAAGATATTGATAATTGATTCCATTTTTCTATGAGTTAAAAACTAACTTTGCCCTCCTAGTGAGAACGTAATAGGTTTTGTCTGTCAAAAGATAATAATCCCATGAACCATTTCTGCACTCTCTATTAGAAGGATAGTTCAGCTTCACTTGAACATAACCCCCATGTCAAATCAGCTTTATAAAAAGCCTTCTTACAAGTCTTCAAGGACTGGGAAGATCTTCGGGAGACATCAAGTTAAGTTTGAGGAACCTAAGAAGTCAAGCAAATACTGTCAATTAATGTGTTTATCCTGATGCACCTTACCCAGGAGTAGCATCTTTTAACATGAAAGCTGTTTTGCTTTCCATTAAAAAGTTTGCATTGCATTTGGTTTCCATAGATACTGTACTAAAGTAGTGGCAGCTTTTTCCACATCTCAGTTGAAGTATAACCATTTATGGATGCCTCCCCTCCCCTGCAATGTTTTTTTTGTGTTTGGCTTTGTTTTCAAGTAAGCTACAAAAATATTAATTGGATACGGAAGTTAAAGACTCCTTTTGCAAATGAATACCCACTCACATGGGCTTTGGTTTTGCTCAGCACTATCCATTGGCCTGGTTTCTGCAACTTGATAAGCCAAACGACGGTTTACTGGGATAGCATAAAATTTGCAGGTTCACAGAGAGAAACCCGTAGAAGTTTTATTCCTCCCTAGTTGTTTTTGCTCCCAAACCGTGCTGAGCTAAGCCAAGGTTTCAAATCCTTTCATGATTAAGGTCCATTCTCACTCAGCATGAGCTGCGGCCAAGCTCATCTCCAGATGTTTGCATGTTTATGTGGTTTCCATAAGCCATGGTTTGGTTTATCATGTTGTAAAGCCAAGCCATTGTGGTGATCAAGTTCACCATGAAGCATAGATTTGGAAAACTGCCTCCTGCCTCACATGTATCTTACTCAATACTGCCTTGTGCTGGCTGGCTGAATGTTATGTGTGAAGAGTTATGTGTTGAGAGTTGTTTTGCTCATGCAAACCCAAGTCAGGAATCTACCGTTGGCTTCTTGATTGTGGTTTCAGTGTGAGTTCATAGTGCTAACCCAGCCACTTTGTGTTTTACTTTCTCTGCTCAAGTAAGGGACCAGTAGGAATGGAAGAACGTTATCAGTTTCCGTTCTACCCTCTATTCATCACACACAGCACTCTTTCTATTCTGCTGCAGTTCAACTTTTGCCAAAAACAACATTATTCATCTTGTGCTTTGCTGGGATGAAATTACATTACTTATGTAATTGATGCAATTAATTATGTAAATTACATAAGTTATGTTGTAATTATATTGTTCCATCCCATACAAAGAAAACAGGAAGGGGGAAGTAATCAGTTATTTATTGTTTGCAGACTGAAAGCAACAACAACGGTAATCAGCAATTGTATTTGCTGGATCAATTTCCTTCTGAGCATGGGATGAATAAGCGAACACTTGCAATTTCCACTGCAATTTCAGTTTTCAATCAGACAGGCCGTTGAAAGCTAAGTGCAGCTGATGTTGACCACTGGGCTGCTGTTAGGGCAATCAGTATTTTAATCCTGGTTCTGAATGTGTTTGATTGTATTTTCACTATTGTTTTTAGCTCTCTTGCTTTTATTACTTTGTGTTCTACAATGATGCTTTTAAACTGTTGTAAGCCGCCTTGAATCCCAACTTGGGAGAAAGGCAAGACAGAAATCAAATAAATGAATGAATGAATGAATGAATGATAATAACAAATTCATTGCAATTATCTGACATGCCTAGGGAGGAATGGAACAAGAAGTTAAGGACTGCTTTCTTTAGCTCATGTTTGGTATAGTTTAGCAAACTATATTTAATGGCTTAGCATTGCATACCAACGCAGCTCGTGAGAAAGTAGGGCATTCAGCAAGCCTTCAAAAAGACCTCTGGCTGCAGAAGCTTAATCGTCATTCAAAGAAAGAAAGAGATGAATAAAAAACAAACACAGAAGACCAAAGAACCAGTCTAGTAACAAATCTTTAATTTCTAGTGAGCTTTAAAGGGTTTGAGTAGTTTTCTTTTCTTTTCTTTTTTCTTTTTTAACAAACCAGTTCAAGTACATGCCTTTGGATTATAAAAGTACCTGAAATTGCCTAGAATATCAGCATGCATAGCTTGTTAATATTTACATATATTTACATGGGGGAAACAAAAGGAAGATCTACATTTATTTACAATCTACACAGGAGAAGAGAAAGGCAGCATAATTGTATTTCTTAAAATACAGTTGTTTGAATAGTCAGCACATGCATATTGAGATATATTTGTACCAAAGAAGGCAAAGGTTTTGAGACAGACCTTCTGGATTCTATGCTAAGGTATAGCATAATAGAAGTCTCTCTTTTTTCTTTTCTTTTTTTTTAAAAAAAGGTTTTTGCTTTGTTTCTAGTCTATTTGCATCAAGTGCTTTTAAAATGTTCACAAACACAATGGCGCGTTATTTACCCTGGCAATGAAAGCAATACAATCATTTCCTACTAACTAACTAGCAAGAAGCTGCTGGTGAATGAAATATCTATTGTTTTCTCATTACCCATCGACCAACATACAAGGATCTCTCCTTGTAAAGGCAGTGCCTAAGCTATCACCATTAATTATAGAAGTGATATAAATGAGACTCTACAGTATGTACTAAATGAAATATTAACAAGACCAGTGTCTTTAGCCTGAGAGATGCGCTAAACTGGAACTCACTTTACAGCAGTCTATCTATGAAAGTCACACATACATAATACAGGAGTGCCTGGCTTATAGCTCAAAGTCCAGACAGCTGAGGCTGTTTACTAGAACTGTATTATTGCAAAATACATTCCCTTAATTAGCTTCTGGAAGACAGAATTAACACTTAATTCCTTACCACACTGCGGCCCCATCATCCGGCTTTCTGAGTGCATTTTAATGCTGACGATTATGTACACAATGCTCAAAATGGGGTGAGATCCTAATCCCATAGGAATCACACTGTTTTCTACGAATTAAAAAATAATAATTCTTGTTTTAAGCCTAAGGGCAACAATTTACTGAGAAATTGTCACGCATCCGACCCATTTGTATGAACATGGAGTGATGCGAGAGAAAATCCTGGCAGATTGTGCCTCAAATTATCACTTGGGAAGATTCGTTTTCTCTACCTTCGCCCCTTTCATTTTTTATCCTGGAAAATTTAGTTGTTCAACAGTGACCGTTAGGATGTCTTGTCTCATTCTCTCTCGTAGCTTTAAAATAAACAAAACCCCTTTCCATATATTTAGATTCAAACATTTCTGTACAAAAAGGAAAGCCAGTTAAATTCCACGATATGCCGTTCTTTGAAATATTATGCATGAAGAAAGACTTAATTCTGACTAGTAACATCAATAGTATTAAAAGGTTTGTAGAAATATATACAATACTGTTAAGTATACATACATTTATATAAATAATATATTTATATATTACTAAAGTTAATTACAGATAAATCCTTAAAACACAGCAATCAATGTGAGATAACAAAAGAAAATGTCAACAAACTCTGGCTCATTTCTCTCTCGGTTTCGTATTTTCCCCCTCATGGCTGTGTGAAACAAGAGGCCATCTTTAGGCCTGTTGCTCTTCTCCAATTTTTGCTACTCATGGTTTTCAGAAGGTTGAAGGGGTTTCTCAGTATTTGTTCCCCCAAGGGCCAACTTTCACGCAGAAACATACTTAGTAATTATTTAGACTGAAATCCTTACCTTGAAGTAAGCCCCATTGAATTAAATAGGATTTACCTCTGAGTAAACATGGCTAGAATTGGGCTGTGAGGGTAGATCCAGCCTTAGTCATGCTTTGAGTAGAGGAGACTTGTTGAAACAATGATTTTTAAGTAGGCTTGCCACTTTGCCATACGTCAGGAAAATTCCTGACATGTCCTGTGTTTTCAGGTGTAAAAATGGCGTCAGAAGGGTATTTTGCTGAATTGGCATAATGTCAGGGATGTATGACCATGCAATGGAAAAAGCAGCGGAAACAGCTCAAAAAGCTTAAAATCATTATTTTGGGGAGAAGGTTTCCCCCCAAAAGCTCAATTTGCAGGTGTGAGGAACTTTACTTTTTGAAATATGGCCACTCTATTTTTAAGTGAAGTGCCATTGATCTCAAAGGGTCTCTGTTAAGCATGATTTAAGCCTGGATCAAACTGTGGTTCCAAGGAGATGCTGCAAACCATCATTTCTATCCTAAACGTGATATATGAACATAACAAAAACGAGCAGTTTCCAAACATTTAGAAACTACAAATTAAAAATTCAAAGCTGTGATACATATAATAATTGTGATGTGTGTGTTGAAAAGTATGCTGGGCCTTTTGAAAGCCCACAACTATTATATCGATATCAGTGAAGCCACATCACCCACCCACCCCCATGGGCAGAGAATCACAGGGTAGGAGTTACCTTAGAGGTTATCTAGTGGGGATACAGCTACTGTACAGCATTCCTGATCTATGGTGAAATACCTTCACTGAAATACCTTCACTGACAAATCTATTTAGAGCCTGCCACCACCTGGAAAGATTTAGTTGAAGTTGGCTTCCCTGCAATTTCCACTTATTAGTTCACCTATTTTTGTGCGTATAGCTGGTACTCATCTGAAGGTCTATCCCCATCTGCATGTTCATCTGGGTTCCCTAAAATGGATGGATGAATCATACATTACAAATGGGGATGTGCAGCCCTTTCCCAGGCCTGTAACCCATGTAGCTGCCCAAGATGAGAGCTCGGTTTGGATCACATAAGCCATCTACCTCTCACTGAAAGAAGGGCAGACTCTAACTTGGGGTGTTGGAGTGGTTGTTGTGTGTCACTCTCTGCTGCCCATGGACTCCACCAACACTAGAACAAAGGACACACTATGCTGCCATACTAAACTCTCTTGTAGCTAGAGATGGAAAATTAAAATGAACATTCATTGTTTTCTTACTAAAGCTTCCTCTTGTGGAACAGGTGGAGCAATTTCTTATTTCTTTATTAAACTGAAATGTAAGTTGGAAGAGTAACTGTTTCTACCTTTTCTTATGCCATCACTGCAAGGTGGCATATCCAGTTCTATTTAAGGCAACAGAACACACACACACACAAAGCAGAGAGGAAATGCAAGGCCTGAGGTAGCCCAAGAGGAATTCAGTAACTCATGCTTCTTAAGTATTAGCTCTAGAAAATGCAACGAGTTGTAATAAAGATCAAGATGGATCTAGATCAGTTTCAGACAGATTCTAGAAGTGGTGCTTCAGTTTAGAAGTGAACAGTCTATGCAACTGAGGATCTAATAGCACTTTGCCAAGTGGCTTCTGGTCAACATTGTTCCTCCCCCCCCCCACTTTTTTTTTTTTTGGAGTGCCTATGTGTGTGTCTCTCCTTTGCATAGAGGAGGTTCTGTTTCAAAGAAAAAACAATATGCTTACATAGGAAGCTCACTTTTATCTGGCTACTTAGCTCCACATGCCCTTAATGGAGTTTTAGTAATGCTGTATAAACAAGTATAAAATCTAAAGTCCCCCCCACCCCAGTTGAGAATCTTCAAGCTGTTCAGAGAACTTTGTAATATGTCTATTATTTTCTGGAGTAAAGGACAAGATGGTGCCTTTTCATTCCATGTACAAAAGCCAACCATTCTGGTAGATGAATCTTACTTCAACACTGGTGGTGCCTATATAGCAGGCAGAGGCCTCTCACCCCCAACTAATAGTAATTAAGTGGGCAAAACTGAGGTTGGTGGGGCAGTCCTCTATTTGGCCTAATGAAGCAGCCTCCACTATACTGGACAATATCATCTAGTGCACCAGGATATCTTACTGGATGCAGGACAGGCATCAGGTCACACATACTTCCTCCCTCATGGCTCCTCAGCATCTGCCACTTGAGATGGCTGCCTCACCTTGGTCAGTAGGGCTGATTATGTCTGCAAGACAGTCCCAGGTTTCTAATCTACAATGTGAAAGGAAATTAATGTTTCCAATCTTCATTTCATCCCGATTCTCTTCAGATTGAGGGGACCAGGGGGTTAAAGGCAAAGACCATGATTTTTTCTTAAAATATGTTTATTACAATGGATAAATTTTCTTTTTGTACAGTTAAAACCCAAAGTGTAGTTTTAATCAAATTGCATGCACTGAATGCAGTTAGGGTAAAAAATCTCTAAGTAAGTTATAATGCCTCGGCAGTGGCAATGAAATCCTCTTTCAGTTTTCCTACTTGAGAAGTATAGAGAGTTTATCTTCCATAATATATGGAGAGAATGTACTGTACATGTAGGAGGGGGAAGTTAGATCCAGAAAACACTATGCATATCCTTGCTAGCTTGCAGTTTTTGTAACAAACTAAGGTTGGGAATTAACTGCAAATGAATAGCTGGGAGAAAATAAGATTTTATAGATTATTTTTGTAGCCACATTTCTCACACAGTATTGGTGAGAATTTTGAGGACGAAATAAAGATCGTGGCAGGTCTCCCTCACCCCACTTTGTTTTCTTGTGATTCGCTGTTGTATCATAAAACAAAGAAATCAGAAGTTAGATGGGAACAAATTTGCTCAGTATCACTAAAGGTTTAGGCAATGTAGGATTTTGAAGCCTCACATATGAGGGTGGATTCAGCAGGCTTTGTTTCCTGACACCAAGCTCTGGGACCAGGTATTATAATCTGGCATTATTGGGCTTTGTTATGTGGTCCCAAGCCTGTATCTAGGCAGAACTGCACTGCACTGCACAGGAGTCTCACAAGATTCTGTTACTTCCTCCATATATAAAAATTCCCAGCGCACTAACTAGATGTCTGTTGCTTAGTCTTTTCCTTTACATTCTGCGTAGAAAGGGTATGTTTGTGTATCTATATCTGAATATTCAGTCCTGTTAGCTCCCACTTGTAGTTTGAAATGTCACACTACAGGCACAGATATACCACTAGTTCCCAGAGGTGGTATCCATTATAGTGATAACAGATCTGATTTCAGCTGGTTGAATTAACATAACAAAGTCTAAGGTAAGTGTTTACTTTCCACTAGAATAACATTTGCAACACAATCCTATACATGTATGCACAGAAGTAAGTCCCATTCAATGGAGCTTGCTCCCAGTGGATATAGGACTGCACACTCCGTTTCCCAAATGTTGTTTTCATGCGCTAACTGGTGAGAAGTGATGGTGGAATCAGAACCATGACATAGAATATTCAGGGTTTTCTAAGTTGCTGAGAAGGTCCTAAATCCCAAGCTTAGAAATACATTTAGTGGTTTGACACCTTCTCTCTCTCTCTCTCTCTCTCTCTCTCTCTCTCTCTGAGAATGCACTGTTGGTGGCATGGTTGTTCTCTTGTGCTCAGATCCTGCTTGTGGGCTTCCCATAGGCATGTGGTTAGCCACTGTGAGAACTGGATTAGGTAGGCCTTTCTTCTTACACAGCATGACACTTCTCTACACTCTGTTGCTGGCCAATTTGCTATTATTGGCTACAGTATAAATTCCAGCATACTGCTAGCCCAGCCCATTTATATGTCTCCTTCCAGGCCCTTTATCTCACCCTTGGGACTTTCCCAGGCCAAATGCCCTTCAACAGCCTTGCTCCACATTGAGTGCTTATGCCTGGCTGGAATATGTCCTTGCACTGTGGTGCTTGCCTGGATGGAGTTTGCTGGTGTTTGTGTGAGAGCGCTACAGTCTGATGATCCGAGAAACCAGTTTGTTTCTTGTTACTTCCAACCAAGAATTTTGTTGAAGGCAGATTAACATGGGGGCCAGGATTTCCCTAGCACAGAGATACCAAACTAAGGTCACATCTATCAGGCAGAGTCTGACACTCTCAGTTCCGAACCACACTGGAAAATAGAAGCTATGTTCTCCATGGACATATCTTTGCTGGACTGGGAAGGTACCTGTGCAAACTGCTTCAGCAGTCCGGGTCAGTCCTCCATGTTTGTCAGCACCCTGTATGCCTTTATGGTTGGAACTGGATTGAAATGTGGAGATATCTAGAATAACCCTCTTTTACCTGACTTAGTAGCTGTGTACGTGCAATGAGTTTGAAAGGTGGAGAAATCTAGAATAACCCTCTTTTACCTGACTTAGTAGCTGTGTACATAAAATGAGTTTTGCAGACGTGTTTTTTCCGTAACTGCAGCTTAAAGGCAGGACAGGATAGGCTGTGCTATATGCTTCTCCTGTAAGTTTAAATTAGCTCTAAAACTGGCCCTCTGAGGTGCTGGCAAGAGCTGGATGGACACATCTGCGATCCTCTTGTTGAGAGGTGAATGGAGTTATCTAAGAAACAGTGGTGAAAGATATGCTATTGATATCTATATGCTATTGAAGTGCCTGCAATTTTTAAAACATTTTTTTCCAGTGGGATAGGATTTTGCTGTCACCTCAAGAATGCCTGAGAAGGTGGTGAGGGCACATGTGCACACACACACAGAGAGAGAATGTCAGGTATTCTATAGCCTGAAATATGTTCTCATTACTTCATTTCTCCCCCTCCATTCCCTGCCCCCATTGCTGCATCATAAATTATTCCTGCCAAGGTGGCACAGTCATCAAGCTCTTGTATCTCTCTGCTCATCTCTCTTTGGAAAGTGTTTGCTTCGCTTAACCAACCACAAAATGTGATGATTTTAACGGAACTACTTGAAGTCACATACTTCATGGGAATTGCCTGCTTTGAATTTAGGCTTTATCTCAATCAAATCACTGCGCATTGAGCTATTTCCACTCAATCTCCTCATTGTGCATTTCTCCCCCTTTATTTAATAACAACAACAATAATAATGTCTGATGAGTTCATCCATATCACTTTAAAAGTACAGTAGCACTTGCCTCCATTATTATTTAGAACTGATTGTATTTGTCATTTATGGCTTTGTTTTGTTAAAATATATGCTATATATTTATGCCTACTTTAGTACTGGATGCTAAATTTAGAAAATAAACATGCGCTTTGAAAATAGCCAAGGCAGAAAACGAAACATTAGGCCTATAATGTCTTTCCACCAGGAGCACAAGACTATATTAGAATACTAATGGATGCATTACTTATATTAATGAGTTTTTAAAGTCATACATGACTATGAAAAGCCTAGTTCCCTGTAGCATTAAGATAGTTCAATGTTAATTTGTATTCACTGCCTAATTGATCACAATTATTAAAAAAAATAGGTGTCTGAAAACTTATAGCTAGTTAATAACACTTTTATCCCCATAATACCTTCAAGAACTCTGTATATGAGAGAATGTTTTGGGCCATTTGGCAAGTCTCCCAATGCAACTCCAGAAATCCTATGGTACGACCCTATTTATTCTCCTCACTTCCTCGGGCCGCATGTTAGCCTGAACAGGAGGAATGCCTGCTGTTTTTGGGAAAAAGCAATTTGAAGTGCATTCATAAAGAAATGTAGGTGTGTGATGGAAATACAGAAGATGGAGTAAGCAGGTAGACTGATTTATTATTCTAAGAGCAGTCAAAATGCTAAGCCAGACATGAAATTTGTGTATGTAATTCATCTCTGGAAAAATATAGCCTCAGTATTGGGGTGGGGGGTGATAATCCAAAGAGATGCTAATAAATACTTTTTGTTCATGCAGGGTTTTTTTTTTATTTGCTTGGCAATAGGCACTCCCACTTATTTGAATCTAGCTGAGTGATGGCAGTAAACTAGAGGAGTCCATTAATATGGCTTTTTTTTTTTGCTTTTCTTTCCTTTTTTTGAATTAGTACCAAAGATTCAAAGCAGAAGTTATGGGATTTTGTGTGTTAAAAAATGGGAAGAACAACATAAAGGTCTGCATCTAAAGGGCACGACACTTCCAAAATAAAATCTTTTGGATCACACAGATTTCCTTGGGAAGGCAAAAAGCACATGCTAAAATCTTTCCCATTTACATCAGTGGGACTGATCACTGAGTCATGCCCAGTGCGGTTCAGGCCAAGGAGAGTGCAACATATGAAAACACCTCTTGCTAATAAGTTAAAGAAGGTTCATAATTTTGTTTTTTTAAAGTAATTGCCTTGTGAACAAGGAAACCTAAAAGTGTGCTTTATGTAAAAGTTGTGTTGTTTTTTTTGTTGTTCTCTTCCAAGTTTCTGTTAGCATCCTGCATACTTGAATACATGGATCACACCCACTGCATGTAGAAAATAGGTCAAGGAAAAGGCTAAAGGGAACACTTTCCCCTGCAGTACTCAGTTTCTTCATGCAACCATTATTATTATTTATTGCATCATGGGGGGAGTGGTCCCAATAAGATTTTCCTAGATATATTCCTTGTTGTAAATTAAAGCATAGTTACTCAACAGATGAAAAAATAAGATGTATGTGAAATGTGAAATTTTGGAGATAAAATGCCTTAAACAGAAAGTAAATTGGACAGTAATTTGAAGCCATATGAAAAGAAACATTTCTAATCATTTTTTGGATGGGGTGGGGAAACTTTCTCAGTCCAAGGCATGTGTTCCCTTCTGGGCAGACTTCCTGGGGACACATTTCAGCAATGGGCGGGGCCAGAGGTAAACGTGGGTGGAGCAACAAAGGGAAATTTTAACTTGGAACAGTGGGCTAGTTCTTATACACGCACACACCCATTTCTACCCTCTGTCCAGGCCAGGGCCAGCCCCCTTGCTGCCACCCCACCACCAGTGCTGCATCTCTTACCTGAGTTGTGCGGCAGTGTCCATGAAGCACCAGCAACGGTGCTGGCTTCCGGCAAGATCTCATTGAACTCTCATGAGATCTTGTGTACAAGATCTCACCAGATCTCACCAGATACTGGTACTGCTGTTGGCACCACTTTGCTGGTGGTGGGGCAGCCAGCAAAGTGGGTCCCTCCTCTTTGGCTTCCACTACTCAAGACGGGCACCTCACCTTGCCTCATCAGTGGGCCAGGAGATTGATCCAGGCAAGCTTGGGCAGAAACATTCAAGAGTTGTAGAGCAGGGTCATCGATGTGTGTGTGACTGTAGTGCGGCTGTGGTGTGAGGAGAATCCAAAGGACCAGATTGAGAGGCTTGGAGGGCCTGAGGCATTTGTACCTCTGGCCCGAGGTCACCACCATATAGTTGGTGCCCATAGTTGGATGCCCATAGTTGGATGATTTTGTATGCATGTGTGTTCTTTAAGTTGATTTAGGGAATAGTATTTTAAAGCAAATTGAAAGGCGATACAAATTTAAAACAACACTTAAAAGTGCTGATTGTATTTTTATGGTGTGTGTGTGTGTGTGTGTGTGTGTGTGTGTGTGTGGTTTTGTCACAATATAAATCAAACCTAATCTAATCTATACTGCAGAATAATTACTAACATGCTCTCAAACTTAATTCACAACAAGCTTCTTTGGTGTGTTTCCTCTCCTAAGAAGAGTTATGTTGACAGCTCCAGTCTGGTGACTCTTAAATGTGTAACTGGATTGGAAATAGTATTTGAGGCACGGTTAAAGATCCATTTGGGCTGCTGCAAAGTTCTTTATCCCATGCATTTCAGTGTCCTGCTTTTGTTAGAAGTTAATGCCGGCAGACCTCCACTTGCATCATTAGTGCCATACGCACCTGACAATCTTTTGACAGTTTAAAAAGAGCTGAAACAAAAGTTGTTTTGATGGCCTAAACCCCACACCATCTCCCTCCCCTGCTTGGTATCACAATAGATCACTGGCCGTTTGTGACAAGTGACACACTCATTGTTTGAGAGGTTTTTAATTAAGCTGTTTAACATGGAGTGCACAGTGTACTGATGTGGCACAGAGCACATGTCACTGAAAGCCATGTGATGATGATTAAAGCAAGCTTTAAAAGATAAAGATTGGAGGGTGTTTTTAGGATTAGGATGAATCTATCAATTTCAGTTTCTCTGTCTTTCTAGTTTTTGAAGTCTTAAATTCCGTTCTCCACATTTCAACAACCTTTTGCATTTTTTTTAAAGGCTCTATGAAAATTTATCATTATTTTAGAGTTAATTTCTCCTGATTCATTTTTGCAAAGCAATTTCCCTTAATATAATATATTATTGTATGTAATTTTCAGTGATATGTGCATTTATATTAAAAATATACCCTAGTATATGCATTTTTTTACTTGGCTGAAGAACTGCCTTGAAAAATGAGGGGAAATGTGAATTTCAAAGGGTGACTGTGTTTCAGTCTATGTAGCATTTTGAGAAGTATGAATTATGTGGTTTTTTGCCTTTAACTGCAAACTGAATCAATTTCCCCCCACCTTTATTTGCAAACCACCATTTTCAGTGTCCCAGATGTAGTATTGCTTCAGTTCAAAACAAGAGAGATATTGTTAAATCAGCGAAACATTAATATAATAACATAACATAAATCAGCGAAAAACAAAACAAAAAAAACCTTTATAAAAACTGTTACATCTGAGTAGCCTGGCATTATTTTTCTTCAGATCTATCAGTTTTATGCCCATGAAGATGTATGCAAATGAAATCAATTGACTAAAACTCATCCGATTACACAACTACAGTTTCTTTCAGCAGGTAATAATTCTAATTAAAACTCGTATGATTATTTGACAAAGATTCATTTAATTGAGTGGTGGCCTTAACAAGAAGAGGTCTGCATAAATGAGGAAGTGTATTTATGTGGTGTCATGCAAAGCATCAGTTATATGGAAGACTACATAGTTGATACTTAGTTTGGATTACTGAAGTTTGGGTGATGGCAGTTAAACTGATATATGCATAAGAGGGTAAACAGAAGACTATGAATAATTTTATTTATAATTTTATCATTGGAGTGAGTCTGTGCTGGAATACAGGAGAGCAAAACATATTGGCAAGAGCAGAAAGACTAGTCTTTTGCATAGATCACATTAGCTTTATTTTGCCCTTAAGGAAAAATCCTATACACGTCTATGAAAATGACAACTGTTCTATATTTGCTTTTGGATTGATCTATAATGTAATAGAGTTATTATATTCATGCTGTGAAATTCTTTAACCTAGCTGAAAGAACTAAACTAAAATACAGAGAGGCTACCATTCTCTATTCTATTACATTGGCTTATAGAGTTAATTCTTATCCAGGTTTTGAATTTTATAAAATGTTTTCATGAAAGTGACATTAAATAGTTTAACACACTGGGAAACAAAACAAAGCCCCAACACATTAAATGTAGCGGGAACAGGAGCTTTTGGTTTAGAAATAATGAGAAACATATCTGCTCTGCTTTGAAAAGAATAAGAGCTTTCAAACACCAGGTTTGAAAGGAGTAGTGTCTCACCAGAATAAGTAAAAACAGACAAAAAATTCAAATGGATTGCAATTCCTTATTCGGGTTTGACTTCATACAGCACTTCGAGTTCAGCAGTTACCCACCTCCTTCCTCAGTCAGTCACTCTATTATAACCACTCTCCCCACCCCCCAAAAAGCAGATCTCTTGTCATACAACAAATTTAGGAGCAAATAAAAGTCTCCTCTGAATTTTAATTGGACAATATTTTGCAGGTCACAATATTTTGTCTAGACACAACGTGGTCATCTTGTTCCATGGCTTCTTGCATGGACCAAGATGCTGGGAGTGGGTGTTGGCTAAGGGGAAAACTGAGCAAACAAACAGCCAGCTCCTATGACTGAATGTATTTAAGCAATTCTTCTTTTGAAACTGTTCATTTACCCCCGAAGTATGTACCCTTGGACTTGAAATGTACACCTGTTGCTAAACATTATGATAGAGATTCTGCTTTGGTTTTTGTTTTGTTTTAAACATTTCTTTTTCATTTTGATTAATTCCTTTTGAAATTAAATTTGCATTTAATTTTTGCAAATTAAAATATAATAATGAACTGTGCAACAGTGTGCACATTTTGACCCAGTGCGCAGCAGCTTTAGAAAAGCTGCATTCCGTTTTAGGGATAATTAGGAAATGGGTTGAAAACACCACTTTGACTATCACTGCAACATGAACCACGCAAATGGTTTTTTAAAGGGAATGGGGCTTGGGGAGCTGGGTGGGTAAACCAAGATGCTGGAGAAGAATTTGGGGCCTTGTTAATGAGCCCCCATGGCCTTATTAAGAACTCCAGGAGTTCATGTCCAGGTTAGCCTGGTGAGCTTCATTGCTATCTCTATATCTTTTGTGCAAGTACTAGGTTTAATGTGTATGGCAGCCGAACAGCTGGGACAGCAGCATGGGATCTTGGGGTTTTAAAAGCTGTGCAACTGAGTTTTAGGGTTATGAAATCCCAGCATACAGAGTCTGTTGTGCTGGGGTAGCTCTATGCTGTAGAGCAGGCTGCAGCAAGCAATCTTTTCACAGGGTTCTGTTTACAACTGATGTGGGAAACCTTTGGCACTCCAGATACAGTGGTACCTCAGGTCGCAAACACCGCTAACCTGGAAGTAGTACCTCGGATTAAGAACTTTGCCACAGGATGAGAACAGAAATCGTGCAGGGGCAGCGGGAGGCCCCATTAGCTAAAGTGGTACCTAAGGTTAAGAACGGTTTCAGGTTAAGAACAGACCTCTGGAATGAATTAAGTTCGTAACCAGAGGTACCACTGTATTGCTGAACTACAGCACCCATCAGCCCCAGCAAGCATGGTGAATGGCCAGGAAAGAGGGGAGCTGTAGTTCAGTAACAATTACAGTTGTAAACTCCTTAAAGCCATTTTGGCATATAAGCAGGATATACATTAATAAACCTGGAGGGCCAAAGATTTCCCACATCTGGGTCACACCATCAGTGAACAATGTGCAAGCATGTGTGAATAAGCCCTAATTTTACATACTGGCCAATGCCAACCTAATGGGGTGTTGGGGGTTGACACAGCAGCCTTTCTGATTATCCCATTTGGAGAAATGTTTTTTTTTGTTGTTGCTGTTGTTTGCCCAGCAAGTATTTTCATTGGGGTGATAATGTCACTGAAAGATCCAATTTCACCCCATAAATTATTTCTGATTGCCACTGTCCTGTTAGGGACTCAACAGCAAGCTTGTGAGATACCATAAATGTTGCAGAGAATAACATAATTTAGGGAACAGGAGAAATGGTTGCCACTATCACATTAGTTTCCTGCAATGGCAGTGACTTTAATCTTGACTTTGTAAGTCTCCTTATTCAGATACAATTATAATTAGTTACCATAGGAAGGAAAGCAATGCAGATAAACAATCATAACTTGCTGTGTAAATGGTATTGGTTTTAAAAGTAGACCTGAATGGACACTGTCTTCCCAAATGATCACACATACTATTTTTCATTGCGACTTCAAAATAGCACCTTGTTCTTACAGCTTTTTTGAATGGGCTCTGTCATTCTCAACTGGCTGCGTTAGAGTTGTATTTGGAGCCAACATTTTGCACCAAACACTCCATTCTGCACTGCTGTGGAATTAATTGTGGTATTCACACAGCCCTGAGCATAGTGAGGTCAAGGTGTTCTAGGCTGGATTAAAAAAAGGAGAAAGGATTCAAAGTAGAAAGAAAAATAGACAGAAGCTGTGTCCTGCACACCCTTGTGTGAGTGTTTGCTCAGTGTCATGAAGGGCAGGTTCTGTAGCAAGTTCTCATGTTTCTGCTTGTGCAAGTAATTGCACAAGTGAAAGAACACAGTTTGATGCAGTGCCAACTTTTTTGCATAATGCTGTAACCATTCTTCTATCCTCCTGCATGTGAGAGGTTAATCTTTTTTGATCCAGTCTTTTGCATTGTGTATAGCTGGTCATGCGAAGCACTCTGCCTACATGGGACTATTGGGCTTTTGAACTGAGAGCAACAGACAGGAGGAAGGACATGGTCTCTTCCTGGCTCTAAGCTCCCTGCTCTGTTTCATAAAGATTTATACATTTATAGAGAAAAAGCGGAATCTCCCTACCTCAGTTTGTGCACAGCCACATTCTTTATTGTGGCTGGTGTCACCCACACAATTTAAGTTGTTGACCAGAGATATATGGACAGTTTTGGCATCAGTCCCGATTGCACTTTATATGATAGGCCATAATTGGAGTGCCTGGGTTCATTTGGAACAAGAGGTTTTAAAATAATAAAAATAAAAATGCATTAGTTTGCTGTGAAGAGCAAAGCAGTAAGTATCTCAGGATTTGATAAAAAAATTCCCCCATTTACAATGCTTTAAACATTTTGTAAGAAACTGTAAACTATTTAACTGTGATGAGATTACAGCTTCCACTTCAAGCTAGAACTATGCTTGCAGAAACTTCCCCATGTTTATTAGTCTACACATGGAGTCCAGGCTCTACACTAGAGTAAATGCATAGAGGCAACCAGGTGCATAGTATCATAGGCCACACCCACACCATGCATACAAAGTGCATTTAAAGGACACGGCTTCACCCAAAGAATCCTGGGAAGTGTAGTTTATCGCTTGTAGAACTACAGTTCCCAGCACCCCTAACAGACTACATTTCCTAGGGTTAATTAGGAGAAGCCATGTGCTTTAAATACACTTTAAATGTATGCTGTGGCTGTGACCATAGTGTGCACCAATTTGAAGGGGGTTCTCCTCTTTCTTCTCCAGAGCCTTCTGGATATCTGAACAACACAAAATTGCTGGGTGGTTATATCCCCAAGCTTATTATCCAACAATGGCAAAAACCCTGAGTAAAAACAACACCTGCGTTTGTATGGGAAGAGGGGTTCTTACGTACAGAAAGAATGTTAAAATGTGACAGCCAAGTCACCTTAGAATTTGACTTCAGATGCCGACAAGAAAGCTGCATCGTTTGCTGGGGCAGATTGACAACTATTGCAGTGCTGGGCTGAAATCACCCATGTTATTTCCTGTAGGATCAGTTGGGTAATGGTGCACAAACTCTGCAAATATCAGGCTAATTTTGCAAAGTTGCCCCTTTGAGTTGCGAACACTTTAACTCAAAGCCAGTGCTTATAAGAATGCACAAAAGGTAGAATGAGGTGGGTGGGCTCACTCTGTACGGAGGTCAAGTTGTTAATCTGCCCTCAACAGTGGTTCTTGCTTCTTCTGCCCTGTCTTTGGAATCTTTAATTTTTCTCTTGAAAATCCAATGTGCTTATTTCCCACCTTCCTCTCTCTCTCTTTAATTGCAGCAACAAGGAGCAGCCACGACTGTCTACTGTGCTGTTGCCCCAGAACTGGAAGGCCTGGGAGGGATGTACTTCAACAACTGCTGCCGTTGCCTGCCATCGCAAGAGGCGCAGAATGAAATGACTGCAGCAGCCTTGTGGGAGCTGAGCGAGAAGCTGATCCAAGAACGAATTGGCAGGCAGGGCAAGTAGTGGGCAGCTCCTGGAAAGATTAAAACCCAAGCAGAGAGAGAGAGAGATGCTGGGGGGGGGGGGACTGCCAGTGCTGGAATCTTTCCAATCCTATCATCTAGAAGGTTACAAATACAGATTAGCTAGTGTTAAACGAAATGATAGCCATCATGACATTGTGAAAAGCATTAAAGACAGGAGGGAGATGGCCAACAAGGCAGGGTTATTGGACAATATAATTTCCCCAGGCTTAGTTCGGCCTCTTTGATTATGTTCTGCCATTTCTTTTTTAATTATACTCTTTGCTCAAAATGTGTCCCAGAGAAAAGCCAGAGAACCATTTCCCATGCTGTTTTTCTTTTAAGCTGGGCAGCACATTGCATTTTTTAGGCGTGTGCCGCCCTCTCTCTTTTCAGCATACACCTAGAAAAGTAGCATGTGAACATGCTCAGCTTGTGTTTCCTACAGGGATGCCCTCACAAGGGAGTTGTCTGCTTCTTGCTGCATGTACAGTTTGGCAGGCGAAGCAGGGGGCTGCCTCTCTGAAATCGAAATGATGTTTGGGTTTCCCCCATCCATTTGCGAACAGCACCCAGTGAACTTCATGGGATTTTAGTTTGCAATTAGGGCTTACTCTCCGAGGAGGGCATCCTCTTTGCCAGTCTCACGTCTGGCTTGTTAACATTTTGTAAAACAACCCAAAATCTTAAATAACCAAGAAAACTCCTTGGCTGCAAATAAGAACGAGCTTGCCTAAAAAGAGAAGGTGCCCCGAAGTCCAGGTTGCTCCCCTTCTAATTAAATATATTGCAGGATATCCATAAAATATGATATTAAAAGATACATTTGCAAACCATTCTCTAAATACTGTGGGGGGGGGGTAATGTCTCTTTACAAACACACAGGGTGTGACCAACTGGAGGGACTGAAAGGTTTTTTTCCATCCATATCTCAGATCAGAGTTTTAAGGAGGGTTGGCGTATACCAACTATTGCCAGTGTCTCAGTTCTCCCAGCACCATGCTCTGTTCAGTATTTCCCCCCCAATTTAAATGTAATAAAAGAACATGCTTGAATATTGTCACCTGAAGAGCAAGTCTCGTTCCTGTGAATGTCTTTAGTTCCTTTTGCTTTTTTTTTTTAAGAAAAGAAAACTTGAGGAAAAATAAAGAACTCTTCAATGCCATGAAAATGCCATTTTTGTTCTTGTTTCATTCCGAGTTCATTTGTCTGTGGGGATTTTTTAAATTTTTCTTCTTTTTGTGCTTTGTAGCTTATCTTCATGCCAGAAATTGTTGTAAGCCATCTGCAACCCAGCATCAGGTTTTCTGTAAACAAATAAACACAAAATGGTTACTTGACTCTCCTAAAGCTTCAATTATTTGTGATTGGGAATTATATGCAATACTTTCCAGTTAGGTATTGCCTGATTCATCTTACATCACGGCCGGCCTAGCACTTTTTGCCCGAATCTGCTGCCCCTCCCAACAGTCTTGAGCCTGCGGCATTGAGGCCATTGCTTCACCTCACCTCACGGGTGGGCTGACCCTGTTTTACATTAAGATTCCCCTCTCTCTGCCCAGCCCCAGCAGCCTTGGATCTAGCCCAAAATTACCCAGTGGGTTTCATGGCTAAGTAAGCCTTTTTATCCAGGGAAGGAAACCTTTGGCCTATCAAATGTGGGACTCCCATCAGTCCCAGTCAGCATAGCCCCCAGAGAAGGATGCTGGAAATTGCAGACCCACAACATCTGGTGGGCCATAGGTTCCCCAAATCTGTTCTAGCTACCATACCACACTGCCTGTCCACAAAAGTGCAACCAGTGCTAGACACACCTTATTGAATTCCACAAGCCACCTCTCATGACTCTCCTAGTTTTAGCCAAATCTCCCCACCCGCATCCCCTAAATAGTTAAAGGGACCATCTCAGAAGCTTCTTAGCCACAGCTTCCATCATCAATACAGGGTTAATAATACTGGTCCTTCTTGTATAGATTAGAAGATGATGTATGTGAAATACTATATAAAGGCTAAGGAGTGGTAACACCAAAAAGTCTTAGCATAGCTAATGAAAAGGTGCCCGACAATCAACTACTTTGAAGCCTATTTAAAGAGGACTTCATTTATATAACTTCTTTCTAAATTCATTAGATAATATTTTCTTTTTTCTATTTTTATTGATTTTTATGTACATTGATACAAATGAAAGCAAAATACAACACAACAGGTAACTGAATGTTTCAGGTATTTCACAGGGAATATTTATCAAAAGAACACATCAGGTCCAAGAGCATTAAATCACCCTCTTGCAAAGAAAAAGGCTAATAAGTCTAGGATGTAAGTATACACTGAAGGAAAAGAGGATCAGGAAAAAGCAAATGACAAAGTGAGAGATATGTGGCATTTTCTAGGCCACCTCATTCATAATCCCTGGCTTGCACAATCCCAGATAATTATGATTCTATGTAAACAAATATTTTAAAAAACAAAACAAAACAAAGAATGTCAGCTTATTCAAAAAGAGAAAACACAGTGCCCCTGAGCATATATGGAGTGCCCTTATCTTACTGCTCTAACACTCATGCCAGCCTCCATGCATTCAGCTAGAGCAAGCTTCCAAACTCAGGCACGCATTTTGTTTCCTAGCAGATTTATTTCACTAAGAGAGCGCCTGTCAGGCAGCTAAAATCCACCATCAGCCACCCGATCAACCCCCTACCACTTTGCTCCTTACAGCCTTCCATCATTTCAGAAGCCCTTCCTTATGCAACCAAAGTAACAATATTTAAAAGGAATGAAATGGCTGTGTGATAAATAAAAAGGAACAATATTTCCAAAATAATTGCTACTTTGCTCTTTGATAAATGGTTCAAGTGCTCGATAATTCAAAGCCATTAGCTTTAAATGCTGCATTGTACTTTGGTACATTTCCCTTCAGTCAAATTTATTTATTGATCTGTTGATAGATGCCGTTTCAGAAAATTTACATAAATTGGTACCCCTGCTCCTTCCCTAACAGATGTGGCTCCAGATATCAATGAAATGACAACCACATGCAAATAAGTGGAAGTTCATCATGCAGAAATCCCACAGAAACACAGAGTTAAGCCATGTAAGGCCACGTCAGAGCAGGTACATACAGTTGTAGGATCTCTGGCAGCAACATTTGGATTTTCCCCATAGAGGTGCTGGCCACTGATTTATATGGAAGCAAAGTCTCCATATAATAGGGAATGTCCTCCCTATCAAGCTAAGTGGCCTCTCTCCCTTTTTATCAATGTGAGCTGCTTAAGGAAACAAGATTTCCTGTATAAATGCAGTTAAGTATTTAAATAAAAAAAAGGTGCAGGAAGCTCTGTCCCCCCCCCCCCGTCCCTGCCTGGCAGACTGCTTGGCTCTAACCATCAGGTGCCTTTGACTACAGGGCCCAAGGAAAACACATGGTGGTTATGTGGTTCTCCAATTGTCACTGGACCTCAACTCCCATCATCCCCAACATCCACAGATGATGGGAACTGCAGTCCAACAGCATCTGGAAGGGCCAATGCTCTCCCTGTATGGCAGCCAGAGGACTACTGTTTACTGGGTTGCATGCAGGGATAGACAAATCTATCAATCCCAGTTTCTCTCTGTTTCTCATTTTTTTCCCAAGAGAGGAGTGCAATTCGGTGGATTGGTTCTAATTTGCACATTAATGCTTGGTGAAGATCAGGCCATTTCATATGAGAATTTGCAAAGGCTAAACGCCTCAGGAATCTTCATGGTTGGCTTTGACCAGCAATGGCTCTGCCAGGTCTTAGGCCTTTGCCAAGCTTCCTGCCTTAAGATCTTTTAAGTCATGGGGAGCTGTGACTCCAGTTTCAGTCAGGCTCAGCCAGCATGGCTAATGGTCAGGTATGGTGGGAGTTTTAGTCCAACACTATCTGGACTACAGTCAATGTTAAGACTACATCTCCCATCATGCCTGACCATTAGCCATGCTGGACCTGGAGGCCATTATCCCCAGCCCTGCCTTAACTGGAGATATCAGGGACTGAACCCAAGGGCCTTCTACACACAAAGCACATGTTCTGCCACTAAGCAATCCCCCCCCCCCAGTAACCTTCCACAGAACAAAAGACAAATATCCTTGGGGCAAGACAATATTAGAAAGCCTTTTTTTCAGCAACACTGCAATAATTTGACTTATGTCAAGGTTGAATAGCTCTCTGCCAGGTGTTAAAACTCATGACCTTTCAAGCCAAACACACTTATACTAACCAGTTTACCACTGGAACAATCAATATCTTGTAAGTGAGATAGTCTAGACAGATCCTCTTTTGTCCTTTGGTCTTATTTGTAGCTTAAGAATTGATAATTATATCTAGCTGGAAAGAGAACTGCCTTGGCTATTTAATAAACTCTCTTTCTCCCTCCAACAGCATTCTTTCCCATTTTGCACTCCTGGTTGTTTTTTTAGCTTCAGTGTTCCTATTCATTCTTTCTAGATTTAATAAGTTATTTGAAGGGCTTTCCCTTGTACTTTTTTCTTTTTAAATAATATCTTACCTGTGGCAGGGGGAGGGGGAGGTTTGCACTAGAAGGCATTGTAATACACCTGAGATTATTATTTTTTTGAGGCAGGTCTGTAGTTCAGCAGTCCGCTAGAGCATGAGATGCTTAATCTCAGGGTTGTAGATTTGAGCCCCACATTTGGCACAGCATTCCTGCATGGTAGGGGGTTGGACTACTAGATGAACCTTGTGGTCCCTTCCAACTCTAGACGTCTATGATACTATGTAGCATCTGTTTTGCATGCAGAAGATCCCAGTTTTAATCACAAGCATCTTAAGGTGGGGCGGGGAATGTCTGAAACCATGGGAAGCCACTGTCAGACAGTATCTGTTGCTTACAAGCCTGTGGCTTTCTAAATGCAAGGGTACATTCTAAGGAAATCCTCAAACAGAGCTTGATCTGTAACAAGATGATACTGAGCTAAAAGGACTAATAGTCTGACTTGGTATAAGGCTACTACTGCAGCATTTTTGGCCAGAAGGCAAGCAACAATTCCAACAGCCCTCCCAAAACTGTGAAGTAAAGGTAAAGGTACCCCTGCCCGTACGGGCCAGTCTTGACAGACTCTAGGGTTGTGCGCTCATCTCACTCTATAGGCCGGGAGCCAGCGCTGTCCTCAGACACTTCCGGGTCACATGGCCAGCGTGACGAAGCTGCATCTGGCGAGCCAGCACAGCACACGGAACGCCGTTTACCTTCCCGCTGGTAAGCGGTCCCTATTTATCTACTTGCACCCGGGGGTGCTTTTGAACTGCTAGGTTGGCAGGCGCTGGGACCGAGCAGCGGGAGCGAACTCCGCCGCGGGGATTCGAACCGCCGACCTTTCGATCGGCAAGCCCTAGGCGCTGAGGCTTTTACCCACAGCGCCACCCGCGTCCCTGTGAAGTAGCCAGGTAATAAATCACATAAATGTGATTCTGATTGCATGCTCCTTGGGACAGAGACCTTCCTTATTATTTGGTAAAGTGCCATGCACACCCACTTACAGTGGTACCTCTGGTTACAAACACTTCTGGTTACGAACGCTTCGGGTTACGAACTCCGCTAACCTGGAAGTAGCTGCTCCTGGTTGCAAACTTTGCCCCAGGATGCGAACGGAAATCGTGTGCCAGAGGCTAGTGCACAGCGGGAGGCCCCATTAGCGAAAGCACGCCTCAGGATAAGAACGGTTTCAGCTTAAGAACAGACCTCCGGAACAAATTGAGTTTGTAACCAGCAGTACCACTGTATTCAGAAAAAAAGCACAAAATATAGCTTCCTTGAAAAGTTTCCTTAAAGGGCACGATATAAATAACTAACACTACTAAAATGGAATAAACCATCATTTTCCAGAGTGCAAATGTGGATCACATGTTTTATTCTACCCTGCTTCAGACTCCCAGAAGCAGAAAGCTAGCAGAAAGGAATTTTAGACCAATCTGATCCCTGACACACTAGTTTTCATATTCACTAGCTTCCTCCTAAATGTGACAGGACGACAATCCGAACACGTCATGCCCCCCAATGCTTTCTCAAATGACACAATCTAGTGAGGACTATACCCAGAGTCCCCCCCCAAAAAACCATTCAGACATAATAGGGCAGATAGGCATCCTGGGACTACTACTGGTTGTATATTCTGCTTCCTTCTTTGTGCACAAGCATGCTAATTTTCTCCCCAGACTGTACAAAAGAAAGGATTCAATGAACCTTCAAAGAATCTCCCTATTTGGATTGTCCTGCAAAATTCAAAGGCGGCATCCATTGCTAATCCCACTCAGAGTAGACTCATTGAAGTTACTAGACATGGCTAACTTAGGTTCATTAATTTCAAAGGGTCTATTCTGCATAGAACATAGTTTGATACAACCCTGAGATTGTGTGTTTTCTGGCTCTAACTTGAATATGATTTAGTAAAGTAGCATTTGTCAGGATGCACATTTTTCTGGAAGGTTTCTCCTGCCTCCCCCTCCACACACAGACGTGTACTTTATGCAGCATTGAGAAATTGTGCTTGTTTCTTTAAAAGAGCACTTTCCGGATGGTGCTCCATGAATTAGCCCTATGCCTTTAAAAGAGGAGATTGCTTTGGTAAGAGTGCGGCGTGGCAGTTGTAAAAGTGTCAAGGTGTTATGAATGTCCTGATGATAGAGCCCAGTTGTTATTTGCCGGGTAGTGAGGGAGGATAGCTAATGATGTGCAGCATGTAAAATGTTTGTTGCTCTAATCCATCTGTGTGGAGGGGAGCAAGGGAGAAATGGAGAAATGCAGGGGGATTTACTTGGACAGCTGGAGATAAAGTGTGCACTGATGGAGTCATCCAAGAGGTAGCTGTCAACGGGAACCGTCTCTGCATATAATACAAGGCAGTTCACAAGGTGGCCTTATTCTTTTGTCTGCGCTTTTAAGAGAAAAAGGAAAGGGTGGGGCTGATGATAAAAGAGCAGCTAACTGCCTGACTAAAGCACAGTGCATAGCAAAATAGGAAGTTGCCTTTGGTCCATCTAGCTCAGCACTGTCGGCACTGGCTGGCAGTGGCTCTCTGGGGTTTCAGGTAGGAGCTGTTCACAGCCCGACCTGGAGATGGCAGGGATTGAACCTGGGACTGTCTGCATGTAAGGCAGGTGCTCTACCACTGAGCCCTTCCCCACTGGAACAGACAAGACGGAGTCAGGCGGACCAATGAGCCCATTGCCTCCTTCAGATCATGGATGCAGTTCCTGGGCAATCAAATGTAAGAATGTAAGAAGACCCTTGGTCCAAATATCCATTGAATCCAGCATCCTTTTTCCTGCAGTGGTCAGCCAGATTCCTATGGAAGATCACAGGCAGAAAAAAGGAAGCTCAGTGTTGTCTGCACTGACTGACAGTGGCTCTTCAGGGTTTCATGCTGGGGATATTCCCAGCCCAACCTGGATATGCTGGGGACTGAACCTGAAGCCTTCTTGCATGTAGTGAATGAGCACTACCCCCACAAAGAGAAAGTTGCCTTATACTGAGTCTAGCTCAGTACTGTCTGCTTTGACTAGCAGGGTTTCAGTCAGGGGGGCTTTGCCAGAAATGCCTTGAATCCTTCTGCATGCAGCTGAACGATGGTGCTTCTCCTACCAAGTTGCCACCTCCATCCCATGACAGGAACCCTGGAGCCAAGTCCTTTGTCCATCTAGCTCAGTATTGTCCACACTGACTGGCAGTGGCTTTCCAGGGTTTCAGGCAGGAGCTTTTTGCAGCCCTACCTGGAGATGCTGGAGATCAGGCCTGCTGAGTACACTGGCCACAGGCCTGGGAGGTCTAAGCCAGCCAGGGGTGGCCAAGACTCCTAGACCAGACCTGAGATAAGCTGCACCTGCCAGAGATTGAACCTGGGACATTTTGTGTTGCTGTGAGTTATTCTTTTGGGGGTGTGAGGGGGAGGGGGAGGAATGAGCCCCCTTCTAATTCCTGGATCCAGCACAAATTCAATTCCTGGAATAGCCAGACTAGCTTCCTAGTGAATACGACTCCTTAAGATAACAAAGGAAGTGGCTCAGCGTCAGAGGACAAATGGGTGCCCCCCTCACTCAACTGTGTGATAGTTAAGTCTGTGTAAAGTAGGTGCTGGAAGCAGGCAGCAGGCTGGGCAGCTAGGAGACAGAGCTATGCCTGATACCTATTTGAATCCAAGGCTGTGGCTATGGGAGAAGCAAAACCTTTTTGGGGTCTTAATTTTGTGATTCCCTGCATTGTGGGCTCAGGTTGTATATATATGTAAATAAACATATATCATAAAGATATCGCAGTCCCCACTTTGCCTCATTTCCAAAACAAAGCACAAACCCTGTGTAAGTGCCTGGGACCCCTGGAATCTTGTGCTGCATGGAGATGGGATGGTATGCAACACTGGTGTCTGAAGTGGGACTGGTGTTTCCTGGAGGAAGGCCTGTGACCGAGGTGTGCCTGAGTCAAAATGGAGGGAAGAACAGCAACACTCCTTGAGTGGCTTGAGAGAATGAAGCAGCAACAAAGTTGGCAGCAGTGCTGGCAGCTGGATAAAATGGAGGCAGCTACTGGCAGAGTGGCTGGCTGAAAAACCTCCATTGTAGGCTCAGGTTGTATATAGGTGTAAACAAACCATATATTATAAAGACACCACAGTCTCTCTGTGCCTCATTCCCCAAAGGAAATACGAGCCCTAGGTAAGCACCTGGAACCCCTGGAGTTTTCCTCCACTCGGAGATCAGGCTGGTGTACAACAGTCTATAAAGCAGCTGCTGCACCACTAAGCTACAGCAAAAAGGCTCTTTTGGAAATATTCATGTAACATTTGGAAGAATCCTTGAGTTACTAGAGTTTTTCTTAGCAAATCAGGGATTCTCCCAAATGCCACACACTGTCCAACATGCTTAAACACATGAGAAGAGCCTGCTGGATCAGGCCAATGGCCCATCTAGCCCAGCATCCTGTTCTCCCAGTGGCCAGCCAGGTACCTGTGGAAAGCCTGACCTGAGCACAAGAGCGGTCTGTCCCCACTTACAATGCTTCTTCACTTCTTATAAGGAACTGCGCACATGCACACATGCACACGCAAAGAGGGAGGGAGGGATTTTCAACCTGATGGAGAAGACTCGAAACAATGCAGAAGTTTTCAGCACTTAAAACACTTGCCAGATGATACAGGTCCCCGGGCATCATGGATGGGCATTTGCACAATGTGTACCTGGTCTAACTGCCCATCCACCCTGCAAAAGTAGCTGAAGTACTGCTAGCACTTGGGAAACCATATTATCTGCTACAGTCAAATGGCATCTTGAGGTCCTCTGAGTCCGCTTTTACATCACCACAAGAAAAATCTGTTATGGTGGTAAATTGGATTAGACAAGTGCAGAATCTGCCAGGAATTTCCCACCGAGCAAAGCGTTAGCAATGATTGAACAGCAGCATTTCAGCAGTTTGAGTTAAATCCAGTGTAAACTTCTAAGCGAACCATTGGCCCAGGCTGAGTCTGCAGTGAACAGCAGCCTGCAATGCATCCAGTCCTTTGCTTCCAAATGCTTGAGCTACCACGTAGCCTGACAGGCGTAGCCACTGCACCATGGGATCCGTTACTCCCTAATCCTGGATGTGCAAAGACACTGATTATGAGATAGGACGGTAAGGGAAGTATTCTGCACATGCGGTAAAGAAACCTGTTCGTTATCAAACCTCTGTATTACATGGCTCAAAACTCTGCCTGGAATTTGCAGCTGGTGCAAATCCTTCTAATGAAACCACACCCAACAATGGAGGCATGTTTTCAAGCTTCCTTTAAGAATTCTAAGGGCTAGAAACTTTGTATGCAATCAAGTTCACAATGAAGGCAATGACTTGCAAGACTGATTGACAGTGTCTTTATTCAGCCCTATGTAACGCAGGTATCTAGGGGGAGATTTGGAGATACAAGTTAGCAGTAGGGATGTTCTTTTTCTTGTTCAGCTCACTTTTGCATGAGTTTACTTGAAAGTCATGTGGGGAGGAGATTTTTAACATATATACACATAAATTCACAATTTTAATATGTGTTTGAATACTGATTCTTGGATACATTTTCTCTCAAAATGTATATTTCTAAATATCTTTCCCCTCAAATTTTAAAATACACCCACCCACCCTAAGGAACCTACACTTATGCTGCAGAAGTGCAAAATGGAAAGCTTATGCTCCAGTCCTCAAATCAGTCCGTGAGGTATGGATCAAGTTCATTGGAAGTGAAATTTGCAAAAATCACATTGCATATGCATCTCTACCAACAAAGCACCCCAACAACCCAATTGCCACTTCTAAGCTCTATCGTGCCGTCTCATGATTCAAATTCATAAAGATCAAATCTCTCAAGCATCTGTGTTACCGGGTGCCCAACACCACCTCCAAGCTCCATCTTGCAATCTCACAATCCAGAAAGGAAGATAACTGTACACTGAAAGGGAAGCTAGTTACGGCCCTGATTTTCAGGGAAGTTGCTTCTTTCATCTTCAGGAGCAGAGAAAACGTGAGCATTACAAAAACACAAAAGAGAGGGGGGAGGGAGAAAGAGAAGAGGAGCGATGGAGAGAAACGTGTTGGAATTAGAGAATTTCATTATTATTATGACACCTGTCAGGCTTTTAAAAACAACAACACAAACCCATACAAAGACAGAGAAAGGCGCCTCCAAAAAAATAAAATAAAAAATAGAGCAGCGTTGAGGCAAGGTGAATCAGAACAGCCTGAGCCCTGTCAACACCTGCAATTAGATGTTGTTTACCATCTTGCACAAACAGGTCCGACAGCATCAGTGTGCTGTGGACATCATGTGTTGTTTCAGTCTTAACTGAAGGCTCAGGACTAATTCTCTTGCCTAATACAGCTGGGAGCCCAAGCGCAGAGATTTCACATTACTCTCCTAACTACACTATCGCTCAAACCATGGGATTAGGACCACTGTACAGTCAATGAAACAAAAGTCACTGGATTCAAGGATGCTAGACAATGAAAGGGTCAATTTGCTGCGTTACCATGTTACCATGTTACCATGAGGCACAGGCTGGGGTCCTGACGATAAATGATATGAGAAAGATGAATGGGAAATGCATCATCAGAAGCAAAGGCTTCTGTCAGAGGATTCTGATTCTTTTCAGAAACATCGGAAGCTGCCATATACTGAGTCAGACCAATGGTCCATCAAGTTCAATATTGTTTACACTGACTAGCAGGGTTTTAGACCAGGGTCTGAACTTGAAACCTTCTGCATCGAAAACAGGTGAGCTCTACCACTGAGCTACAGCCCTTCTCTGACCAAAGTGCCACCTCAATCCCACAGGCCCTTTGTCCATCTAACTTAGTACTGTCTACACTGACTGGCAGTGGTTCTCCAGGGTTCCATGCTTTTCACAGCCCTGCCTGGAGACACCAGGGATGGAATCTGGGACTTTCTGCACGCAAAGAAACTATCTAACCACTGATAGCAGAACCACTAACAACTTGAGCTGTGCTTCTTATATGAATAATATGTAGACACATGTCTACATCAGTAGTGCTCAGCTGGGGAATGTAGCAGGGAGCAGGCTCTTAAGCACAAACCAGCTGAGGCTGGTGCCAGAGACTGAGGTCCCAGAGTTTGATCCCTGGAGTTGTCCAGTCTTGTGACTCCTCCTCCTTGCTGTTGCTGCTTGATCACCTGACTACCCTGAGTGACAGAGAGAGGCGACATGAGCAGAAAAAGCTGAATTAATACCAAGTCCATCTAATTATCTATGCTGATACTTGTCAATGTTGGAATTGTTTTTGCTGAGCAGTGGTGGGTCTTCCTGGCTTCAGACCAGGGACATTCCCAACTGTTCCTGGGGATACCAGAGATTGGACCTGGGGCCTTCTGCATGCCAAACAAATGCTCAGCCACTGAGCTTTGTTCCTTTTCGCAGCTCAGTGGCAGAGCACCTGTTTTTCATGCAGAAGAAAGAAAGAAAGTCCCCACCCACTTTAGGCATTGGCCCCACCCACTAATATAGGCCCCACCCACCAATGTCTCCAACCATCCAGCACAAAGCTCCTAGCAGATAACTTTTCTAGGTACACAAGGGGGGGGGCGGGAAATAAAATCAATACGTTTTGGACTTCCCCCAAGGCATCTGGACATGAACAAGTAGAAGGAAACAATTTCCATTTTATTTATACGGTATTATCATCTGTGCTACATAAACCAAAGTCCAGGGGCCCTTGTTTGTCCCTGGAACGCTTCCTAGGCCACAGCCATCACTGGCCCTGCAAAGTTGCAATGCCTCTTGCTTGTCTAGATCGATGACGGAGAGACTGTGTGAGTGTGTGTAGAAACTAGTAAGGCTGCCATACGTCCAGACATTACCGGGATTTCAAAGGCGGAATTGACATCCGGGGGAACCTCAACAATGTTACTTTTTGAAATATGGCAACTCTAAAACTAGCCTGTTATGCAAGGGTATATTGTACATTTATTGCATCACCCACTTTTGCACCTGGTGCCGCCCATCACTGCCAATGTGGCCCTCAGGCTGAAAAAGATCCCCCACCCCTGACATTGTCCTGCCATGAACGCAAAAGACCCTTCAGGGCCCTATTTCTTCTTGCAGGGGCTGAAAATTGTGGTGTATTAGCTAAGAGTCACCAATCAAAGCAGTCAATACCCAGACAACACACACACACACACACACACACACACACACTCCATATAATTTCATTTATGCCTTCAGCCACATTTCAAACGCTCCCAAGACATAAGGCAAATTAATTTATTAAAAAGCAATCGCTTGATAATGCACACGATGATAGAAATAAATGAATACGTTAAATATCGTATAAAACAGTGGGTAATCACATAATAGAGCATCCATTGTCAATTGAGGGGCCGCCTTATTATACTTGGCAAATATCAGTTAAAATGGTGTATTATTCATGAGCCAACATCCTTTAATTACTCTTAGTGCACATTTGTTTTTTCTTCTCCGCCTCTCTCCAAATGGAGCATCAGCCAGATCCATAAGGGTTGTGAATCCCTACAAATGCAGCTCAAATGCAAAGGTGCTTTTTCGGTCAGAGGCCCATTTGCAGTAGAGATGATAGGAGAATGTACTCTGCCGGTAAAGGCAAAACTGAATTTGGATGAAGAACAAGTCAATAGATTAGATATTAAGTTATTTGGTGCTTTTACAGACCTCATGACACGACGCAAGGAGACTACAATTTCACATCTGATGTACATATAAAAGTAATGGTTGCTAAAGCACTATGTATACTGACTGTGCTAGATGTATTATTATTTGGGAAGGATTGTACAGTGGTAGTGCATCTAGCTTGCATGCAAAAGGTCCCAGGTTCAACCCTCAGTATCTCCAGGTATGGGTGCAAAAAGCTCCCTTCTGAAATCCTGGAGATCTGCTGTAAGTCAGAGGAAGACAAAGAAGAAGAGTTTGGATTTGATATCCCGCTTTATCACTACCCGAAGGAGTCTCAAAGTGGCTAACATTCTCCTTTCCCTTCCTCCCCCACAACAAACACTCTGTGAGGTGAGTGGGGCAGAGAAGTGTGACTGGCCCAAGGTCACCCAGCAGCTGCATGTGGAGGAGCGGGGACACAAACCCAGTTCACCAGATTACAAGACTACCGCTCTTAACCACTACACCACACTGAGCTAGATGTAGAGGTGCAATGCCCAAATCACCCCCTTCGTGCTCCTCCCACATGACACTCTAAATCACAGTTGCAGCATTCCCTGCAACTGAACCGGTTGCACTCTCCTAAATCTGCCTCTGCTAGATGGATGAATGGTTAGACTCAGAATAAAGCAGATCCCTGTGTCCCTGTTTTTCATTCCACTTTCCTAAAAGGTTAGGAGTTCAAGGGGCACAGCCCTTACCCATGCTTCATTTCCTTTGGAAAGGGGTCACGGGAGACTTACGACATTTTGGGTTTACAACTAACTATAAAGGCTGAGCATAGGTGAAGGCCTAGCTTAAAGACTGCTACAGACAATCAAATCTACTGCACCACAGTAAGAGCTCCAGAGAGAGTGTCAGGCACCCCAACATGATGTTGGCTAACAGGGCTAAAACAAAACCAACAACCCTGAGCTATCTATATGTATTTCTTAGTCTGCAATCCTGGTATTGGCTCTGCCAATGTTGCTGGACTACAGGTCCTATCGACCTCAGCAAGTGTGGCCAATGGCCAAGGATAATGGTACTTGTAGTTCACCAAAACCAGGAGGGCAAAACATTCCCTACCCCTGCTATGAGCCAACTCCCAACATTGCCTATTGGACACGCCAGCTGAATTTGAGTCAAACAACAACTGGAGGGCCACAAGTTCCCAATTCATGTTCTACAACTTATGTGGAACAATAATTCCAATTGAACTGAATGGGACTTCTGAGCAGACTTACATAGGATTGCACAGCTGGTTTCTCTCTATCTCTGTCTCTGTATCTCTCACACACACACCAGCAAATAAATGCGTTGCCTCCCACAATTCTCCTGATATATTCGAACACTACATCAAGGGCATCATGGAAGATTTAAGATGGTTGCTTGTGGGCCCAGTCTCTTGGTCCAGAAAGCCCAGGGTGGGTGGTGGTCCTAGTGGGACCTGCCAGGGCATTAGAGCCACAGCAAATTCTCAAGCACCCTGGGTGCTGATAGTTTGATGTGGTGAGCATAATTTGGATCCACGTGAAATGCTTTCACATCTCAGATAATCTGAGGGACTACCATGGAGTCTTGGGAGGGGATGGTGTGCAAGAATCCACTGTTTCATATGGTTTTCCTCTGTATGGAAAGTCTCTCCATTGAACACACTGGCTTAGCTTAATTTGCCAGGAAGGTCTCACTTTAACAAGGTCAGTTAAAGTCCACCGATCACTTCAATTAAAACATTTTCAAGGATTTATAAGTAATAAACTGATCTAGCCTGTAATTACAGGTTGCCTTAAAGCCAGCTGCCCCAAGGCTGCTCCGTGCAAGGCTGTATAGAATGCTGTTGATTTCTGGGCACAAAGATAAAAGTGTCCCATAAAAAACAGAATGGTTTAAATTAAGCACAATTAAAGTGTAAATCTCAACACCCATTAATATTTAAGGTCCATTAGATTACTTTATCTATCACATTATTAAATGCTCTGATGTTGTGCTGGGTGTCTATAACATTTGGCTCCGCTTCTGTCTAATCTACATCTTGTGCATAAAATGGTTCTTAAGTATGCGCAGCTATGTAATAATTTTCAGACGGAGCATTTCTCTGCCCTACATCCGTCTGCAGTCGGAGGCAGCAGACCACCCCTGAACATCAGGTGCCAGGGAGACAAGCACCTTGCTATGCTGGTAAGCTTCCTAGGGCTGACAATTATTAGAAGCAGAGTGTTTTAGCTACATGATCAGGGATTCTGGAAGAGGCAGAGCTAGCACAGTAGTTCCTACCCTTTTCCAGGCCACTGTCCCCTTGGTTCCATAAACTCATCCCCTGTGCCCCCTTACCTTACCTTACAAAAAGCCTTATTCGAAATAGCAGCTTGTGTGACTCACTAAAGAAGACGATAACACAATAAAATCCAAAACTATTAATTGCATATTCAGTCAAAGATCCAATCAAAACTATTTAGCTCAATTAATGCAACAAAACCGATGAACTTGATCCTGTGATACCAGCTTTTCAAAGTCTGTAATTTACACCTCCATCGCCCCCTGTTGCCCCCTTGCCTCTTAGTGCTTCCCTAGACCCTTAGACTGCCATGGAGTGCTGAGACAGGGGTGATTGGGGGTGGGGAGAAAGACTGCTGCTGCAGGTCAAAGCTAATTGATAAAGAAGGGGGAGGGCAGGTGTGATCCATTTTGCAAGGAGCTAGCAACTAACTGTACGGTCTTGTTTTCCTGCAGAGGAGTGAGTTGAAATGACCCTGAGAGATAATGCATTGGAATGGGGCAGGGAGATAGACAGGGTGAGTGTCCAGGTTCAGAGGGATGAGGCCAAGCCCTGAACCTCCTTCTGGTCCTGCCATCTAAAATGTTCACGATTTGGGGCTTTTTAGTACATCTGTGACTCCATTTGAAATTAATATACTATTGGGCTGCCCCATTGATCCTGGAACCCGTTGCCATATCTAACACAAGCAACGCCACCCTTCTGCCTTTGTGGTTGGATGGGATGCCTGCCAGCAAACATATTCCACCTTCATTAAACCAAGTCTCTGACAACAAACTCAACCACATGCCCTGCTTGCATTTCCTGAGACATTCAAGTTTGGTCCTTTTCAGCAAGGAAGAGAGCACAGGGGTGGGGTGGGGTTTCAATCGGAACTCACTCAAACTCAGTTCTGGCATCTCTCTGGTGAGCGTCATTTCCATTACAAGAGAACAAGGGTGAGTTCCGGCACCCCTTTTTCTAGAAAAATAGCAATAAGAGCATCTCATTTCCTTTAAGCCCTCTGACAGGGAACTGAGTTGATATGTCCATTTTATGTATCCATGTACACAATAGAGCTATCCATGCCAACAAGCGCACACTTTTCACACTAACACTTGTGCATGTGCATGTGCCTGTGTTCAGTGTAATGTGTGATTTCACCATGTGATGGTTATCTAACTGCTCATGATAGGGCTACCATTTTTACAATTGGATGGAATATCTGAAACAGTAAAGAAGCATTCAAACTCAGCTGTGGCCTTCCACTCATTATTATAGTAAAAACTCTTGATTTCACATGATTTGGTGTTTTCCTCCTATGCCTCCTATAGTAGAACACATGTGTGGCTTTGCGCACACACATTCTTACTTCTTTCTGACTTCTGTATATTCCAGATCTTGCCCACTTTTAACTCTCATGAAACTCTGCACATGACTTTTCTCCTTGCTGATGTAATTCCATCCCTTTAGTCATACTTTATAGATGA